CCCCCCCCCACTCAGAGATGTGAGAATAAGGAGCAGGGTGTATTCTGTTGTCCCTGTGGGCATCTGCCTAGTGATGGCATCTTGCCCCATATAAGAAAATCACTCCTATCTGAACCCAGCCTCCTGACACATGAGAGTATAACCTCTCTCCCCTCACCCTCTCTGTGAACATTCAGTGAGCACCTGTCATATGGCAGGCACTGGGTCAAGGTCTGTGGGTCTTTCCTACATGATTTAGGGCACATGGTGGCCTTTGAAGTTAGATAGACCTGAGTTTGATTCTCACCACCATTAACTTGGGCATTTCTGAACCTCCATTTTCTCCCTTACAACACTGGTATGCTAATACCTACCTCACAGGGTGAGCCTTTGATGAGATAATGTATCTAAAGGGCACAGCTCCCTGATTTGGCCCAAGGTAGCTTCTGGCAAGTGCTGCTCTCGAAGGGATTGCCATTTAGTTGGAAGATGCCATGTTCAAGAGGCAGAATGGTCTAATGAAAAGACTAGAAGTCTGAAGACTTACTAGGCACGATTCTGAATTCTTTGTGTCTCTGTCACTCCATCTATCAAATGATTATTTTTCCTAATGTGAAATAGCCCCAATACTACTTAATTCACAAGGCTGTTGTGCAATACCTGAGACAAGTGAATGTGGAAGTACTGTCTAGAACAAGGAGTACTGGCTGCGTGACACACGTGAGGGAGTGACACACATGGGGGGGTGACAATACTGGATTAAAAGCCAATAGACTTGGCTCCAGTTCTGGAATTTCCTCTAGTTTGCTGTGTGGCCTGGAACAGACCCTTCCCCTCTCAGAGTTTCCTTATTTTACAAGGGGGCTCAGCACTCCCTGAAATCCCTTCATTGGGGGACATTGTGATCCTGCCTTTCTTTGGCTGAGGCAAAATGAGTGGGGTCACCTGCAAGGGTTCCACGGGGAGAGTTCCCGAGGGGGAAACCGAGAATGGGTGTTGAGGGCAGTCAGGACTGGCAGCCAGACCACCTTGAAATCTGCCCGCCCCCCAAGAGACCTCCCCAGAAATCAGGCTAGGGACCACTCGAGGCCCATGGAGCAGATCTTGGTGGTCAGCATATCTTCTCTGGGTCTGTGAAAATCTGCCTTATTTTCAGACTCGCAGACAAGAAACTCTCACACCTCCCCCCAATGTCAGGGCCAGATCACAGCCTGGAAGTGAGCTCTGGTTGAGCTCTTGGGAGCTTTAAGGATAAGGGGACTGGAGGGCTATTCAGACAGACAGGAAATAGGAATCAAGAGGGAAAACAATGCTGAATTTGGGGCCAGAAGACATGGATTCCCATGCTGGCTTTGCTCCTTAGCAGCTGCATAGGCTGGGCAAGCTGCCTTAGGTCTCCAAGGCTCAGCATCCTCATCTGTAAAATGGGGCTTTTGTTAGGCTTGAAGGAGGGAAAGATATGTAGTAATTCCAAGACAACTGTGAAGTGAAGTTTGGCTGTGAGATATGGGAGTCAGGGAAGAGGGATAATACTGCAGAGAACAAGTGACCGAGTGAGTGGAAAAAGAGATAGCAAAGCCACCATGCCCTGAAAGGGGTGCGTCAGCCTCTGACAGATGGTCCCTCAGGAGGGATCAGGCTGAGGGGCAGTGACGTGCACAGTGCTAACCCAATACCCCTGGAGACTCCTTATCCAGCCTAGGGGGGACAAAGGCCATGTTTTAGTATCCCTTGACTCTTGGGGCTTGTCCTGAGTGTAGCTTTGTAAACACGGTGCCCTCCAGACCTCAGGATCTGGCTATCGGAGCCCTAGACCCAGCTTGCTGGGCCATCCTTCCCAGGAGCTTCATAGGCCTCTTACCGGCCCTTCTCATCCGGATGTCTGGATGGAGATATCCTTTTCCAGACGTAGCTGGACAAAGCCAGGGACACAGCAGTGGGATTTGATCAATGTTGATGTGGACTCTCCTGCAACCTTCTTTCTTTGAGCAGCTGACGAAGATGATCTAACCTCTCATGCCAGGAGGGTAGTCACTTGGGCTGGCACCTTCCTCATGAGCCACACAGGTGCCCATTCCACCAAGGCCTAGCAGGTAGCTTTTATGCTGTCACTTCTCTGTTCCCCAGTGATGCCAAGGACAAGGGCAAGAGGAGGGAGCTCAACCATGAGCTCTGCCCTGTTCCAAGCACTGTTGGGTACTGGGGCTACAATAGTGAATGAGCCAGACATGGTTCGTGACCTCAGGGAGCTTATGCACTTGGTGGAGAGATAGACATTAATCAAATAATCATATAAACAAAAAACAACAAATGAGCAATACATGCTGTGAATGCAGGATGCTAGGAGAGGGTAGAGCAGGGGCTATCTAGTGGGAGGGAAGATGTCAAGAAGGCTCCCCCAGGAAGATAACATCTGAGTTCAGATCTGAACAGTGGGAGAAGGTACTAGGCAAAGGGGCTTGGGCTTGGAGGTGGGGAGACAGCGTGCACTAGAGAATTTTAGGCTAGGGAACAGTGTGTGTAACCACAGGAACAAGTTAGGGCATCCGCAGGCTGGAGCACACAGAACAAAAGAGAGTTGAGTCTAGGAGGTGACAGGAGCCAGCTGGGCCACCTGAAAAACAGTGGTCTTGATCCTAAAAGCATTGAGAAGGCCCTGAGGAGGGTTTGTTTTTTTTTTAATGTTTATTTATTTTTGAGAGAGAAAGATTGAGAGAGAGAGAAAGACACAAAGCACAAGTGGGGGAGGGGCAGAGAGAGAGGGAGACACAGAATCCAAAGGAGGCTCCAGGCTCTGAGCTGT